ATACCCACGACCGATGCGGGGTGACATCGTCTATAACTGTACTGTAACATGTTCAATTTCAGCATTTGTTCTAGTTTTCTTGAATATTTTCGAGACTAAGTCTTGGACCAAAGTGTATAGGACTTGCAGTACATCCTGTTTCGTGATAATTCCATGTGTGCGGTACTCTGTACCTTTTTCCAGTAGCTTTCTAAGTCTAATATTATACGTTATTTCCATGTTACCAGTGCATATGTGATGGAGGTTGGTATCAATATATTCCGTATATTTACTACATATACACGGTTGTTTTTCTATATCTTTAATGCCCTGTTCATTTAGTCTCTTCAAGAAATTATTGTAATTACTAATTTGTAACCCTAAAGGGTTACTAAGTTTATACCTAATAACAATCTCCATATTTTCCAACATGTTAGATTGTTCTACGTGTTGCATCAAAATTCTTTTGACATTGATACCGTTGCATAGCTTTTTTAATTTGAGTTTATCCCTAACTAGCTGGCTTACCCGGCTCCGCCGTATCCGGACCAAACTTGGCACACATACACTTCGAGCCCCGGCTGGTGTCACAGTCCACTTTTCGTTATCGATCGATGTCGATTTTACCGATTTTTATCGATTTTTTGCAGAGTTCACCTACAGGGCTAGGAGTTGGCACAGGGGGGAAGTGAGCATGGGGATTCCGAATACAATATTAGTTTTCAGAATTATCGATTACTTTTATTGATTTTATCGATTTTTTGTAAATTTTGACATGCGAGGCTGGGATTTTGCACAGGGGGGTAATCGAGCATGCTGATTACGAACACAATATTAGTTTTCAGGATCGTCCATTACTTTTATCGATTTTTATCGATTTTTTTGCTGAGTTCACCTACGGGGCTGGGAGTTCGCACAGGGGGGGGGGTAATCGAGCATGGGGATTCCGAATACAATATTGGTTTTCGGGATTATCGATTACTTTTATCGATTTTATCGATTTTTTTGCAAAGTTTGAGCTACGGGGCTGGGAGTTCGCACAGGGGGGTAATCGAGCATGGGGATTCCGATCGGAATCCCCATGCTCGATTACCCCCCCTGTGCCAACTCCCAGCCCCGTAGGTGAACTCAGCAAAAAAATCGATAAAAATCGATAAAATCGATATCGATCGATGACGAAAAGTAGCCTATGACACCCTCCGGGGCCCGAAGTGTATGTGTGCCAAGTTTGGTCCGGATCGGTTCAGAAATGGAATTTTCTATTCGGAACATACGTACAGACAGACATACATACATACAGACAGACAGACAGACAGACAGACATACATACATACATACATACAAACAGACATTCAGCTTTATATATAAGATTTCTCCCATATGTGGTACGGTTACCGTAAGTTGTTCCTTTGCTATCTAGTTTCTCAAGTTCTTCTCGGAAGTCACTGAGGCACACTCTCCGCAGGCTCGCAATCCTTTTAGAAGCCGGTCGTAGTCGTATGTTGGGTCCTCCTCGATGGGCCAGACACAACTTGTTATGAGCTCTTCCAGCCTGTTACTGTCATAAACGACTTCCTTCCTTCTGGCGGCAGTGTGACAGACTTTCTTTTCCAGTTTTCGGCTGAATCGTATCTTCGCTCGAAGGAGGCGATGATCGGAGCCACTGCAGAAGGATGGAACTATTGATACATCGAGCAAACTCTACCTTCAGTTGTTGAGAATGTGGTCGATATCCGCGTGATTCATTCCGTTGGGCGATTCCCATGTCCACCGACGATGTTCTTTCTTCATGAAGATGGAATTTCCATGGAAAAGTCGTGCGGCGGAGGGAAGCTTAACGAGACGGTCCGTTTTCGTTCCGGAGCCCATATCCAAACTTTCCGATCGATCCTCGTTGCGGACGACCTGCTCCACGTCTTCGTGGAAAGCCTCTAGCTCTAAATCGTCAGCTGCTGATGTTGGTGATTAGCAGTTGATGATGCAGATGGTCTTCTGACGTGGAGGTCATAGTCGTAGGATGGCTATTCGAGGTGACAGGATCTCATGCGAATCGACAAGATGGACGATATAGGGTGGACGACAAAACCAACGCCTCCAACGTTTCGTGATGGAACCTTCTCACCACGAATAATGAGTGTCCCATCACTCATCTGTCGCACGTCCTTCTTCCTGGACTTTGCCTGCAGAGCGATGACGTAATACTTGATGTGCTCTGCAGCGTCGAAAAAGCTTGGAGGTCGGCGTTTGTGGAGACTGTCCTGGCGTTGTAGGTGCAGAGCATGAAGGCAGTGTCCCGGCAGATTCCGGTTCTGGGGATATACGTGTGGTGGGGTTCCTGGTCACCGCACCGACCCCCAGGCGCAGTCCGGCTGGGTGATGTTCCCCCTGGGCCGAGAAAATGGCCCTTGAACCGGCGCGCCCAACCCCAACTGGCGCGCGGCTGGACGGCCTTCCCTGTCTGTTCGGCGCGGGACCCCACGAGCGCTCTCCCCATGATGCATGCTATCCAAAGCAAGAATTACAGGCGGCAGGGTCTTCGTCTGAGGACCTCCCAACTTTCCTATGTAAAAATCTCGTCCGAGCTGCTTTTTTGGAATTGGAAAACGCCCCAAAATCGGCCTTTTCAGCCCGTTCAAAGCTCAAGTTCGGATTCTACGTGGCGAAAAGGCCTAAAACATGCAGAAAGGTGGAGGTGCAAAATCTGCCGGGACACTGCCTATGAGGCAGTCTCCATGGCGTGTTGTCCGGGCAGACGTCGTTTTTGTCCAATCCGAAAGGCGCCCTGACTATTCTGATATCGTTCTTGCTACCACTCGGTGCCGTAGGCGGGATCCGATGTGCAGGGTTTATCTCTCTTCTTTTTACTGATCGAGTAATAAAATAAAAATGTGTCCCCCTACAAGAGCAGACTTACTAGGCCTACTCTTGATTTCCACGGGGCGATCGCTGACCCGGGCGTGGAGCGGGGAGCAGAACCGCCTAGTGACCAAAAAACCAGAATGCGGTGGGATCTGGCCTAGCCGGCTCTTAGCTAGGCATCCGGCCGAAACCGGAAACGTCAAACTCCCTCACAGCTTGGGAGGCCCTGCCAGAGTATACACTCGGCTGTGCATCGCAGTTCGACACCCAGTGTCACCCCCACGCCACGATGAGGCGACCGACCATTGTGGGGCAAATTAAATTAATTAATTACACTAGTCCGTGCATTATTTCCATATTTGTTTGGACACTGTGTCAAGACACGACGGGGCTCGTGTGTCCGATTGGCTAGTTTAACCATGTGCGGCACAGCAGGCCCGACCTCGGCAGACAGATCGGGGGTGGTTCCCATTCAGGGCATGCGCCTCTAACCATAAATGACGGGATAGGCACTCTCGCCCACCTATGCACTTGTAATGGTAAAGTAGAGCTCGACCAGCGTGCGGGAGATTAATAAATACCGCCTCTGTATAGGGATACCCTTTTGTACAGAGGATCGGCAAATACCATTCTGAGATGATTTGTACGATAAGGTGCGTTCAAATGTGAAGTTCACGTGAAAGATTCGGCGTTTTCAGTACGCTTTGCGATGAGCCAAGGCGCAGTCTTCCTGTGCGAGACTCTTAGGTTTTTTTGCCCGAGTTAAACTGACTTTTGGTGGTTCAATGGATCCGATGCGACAGACAGTTGGAGAGCGAACGTTTATTGGGGCGGTTATCGCCAGTGTACAAGCACAAGTGAGGCCACCAAAAACAACAACGAGGCCGCGCCCCGCCCCCCTAAGAAGGCATCATCGTCGCCGATGATACTCTTGGGAGCAGGGGGGCTACAAATTAAATCCGAAAATATGGCAAAACCGCAATATACATAAAATGTGGTGTTCCATCGACTTCTTCGTAGAAAGTGGCTGGCGGTGGGGGACGTTGCGGTGTCTTGACGATTCGGCTAGTGGCTGGCATGGGTGGCGGGGGCTAGACGTAGAACGGCTGGTGCTTTGCGATAGCGACTTCTCAGTTCCGCGGCCTCTTCTGCCCGTGCGGTTGAGGCTTTCTGCGATTACAAAGCAGCGCCGAGGCCATAATTGCTACAGATAAATTCGCAATTTTCCTCATGCACGGGCTTGAGGCACTTCAAACACAGTCCGAGATTGGTTGCGCGGACTGTGCGGGATACGGGGTCGGGGAAGCGGGTACACCGCCCCGAGATGTGTTGATCGCGATTTTCGTCGAATGTGCAGAATACACAATTCGACTTCGGTTGAGTGCGATCAAGCAGCATCTGCAGGACTGCTTCTACGGCGTCCAGGCGACGCAGACTACTGTCGATGGTCAATGGCGTCTAGGCGAGGCGTCAGGAAATGAACCAATGTGGACACATTGCAGCTATCGAGCTCGTCCAGGGCAGCACGGATGTCGGATGTTGAGGACATTCTTGGGTGAACATCACCAATTTTCTGTATCCATACGGTTTCGTATCGGACCTTCTCTTCAGGATTTTTTGTAGATTTCGCAAGTTGCCATATTGGGGTAAACTGTGCGAGACTCTTGGGTATTTTTACTTGAGTTAAACTTACGTTTGGTGGTTCAGTAGATTCGATGCGGAACAAACAGTTGGAGAGCGGGCGTTTATTGGGGCGGTTATCGCCAATGTACAAGCACAAGTGAGGGGGCCAAAGCCAACAAAAACAACAAAGAGGCCGCCCCCCGCCCCCCTAAGAAGGCATCATCGTCGCCGATGATACTTCCTACTCACATAGCAATTGTCATACCAATACTTGACAACAGTCTTTCTGCTGTCTCGACAACTCAAGCCTGCAACTAGGCAACATTTGTTTCTTCTTGTTTTCGCAAATGATTGTGAGAGAGTTTTATGAAAGCGTGGGTAAATAATCATGATTAGGAATGCTTAATTGCCACCGCAATCCATCAACATAATTATGGTTTCAAAACCCTATGTTTTCTGGAAACAATTTGAATCTCTAGAGTGATGTCTTTAGACTTCCATGTATGGATTCTGATTAGTTTTCAAGTGTGATCTTCCAGGTTTGCAGCAAATTGAACGAAACTCTGCAAGAAGTGCAGTTCCGAAGTAACCTTCTTGAACAAGACGCTAAAAATTGGAAGTCACAGGTGAGCTACTGCATGCGGGCTGTGAACACGTATTTGTATGATCAGTAACTGTCGCTCATAAATCGTCGTTGATTACATCAAGGAGGAGAAGTTTAGATAGACCAGTATAGGAGAAGAGCTGATGATGCAGAAGAACAAGTGCGTTTGCTACGTCAGCAGCTTCCCCCTGTCGAGGTCCGATCATGTTATTCAGTACCTGTTGTTTTTCTATTGTTACTTTCAGTCGCTAATGGCGGAGTTAATCAAAACACAGTCAGTTAACCAGCAACTTCGTGATCAAATTCGCATGGTATGTTATTCGCTATCTCATGATACTACAGTCATTTCTTGAAGTATCGTTGATTCATTTGCCGCACGGACTGCTCAAACCCTGCGCCACGGGCGGCGCGGGTGAATTGTCACGAGAGCACGACTTGTGCAATGGTGAATTTGTGCTGGGACAAGCGCTTTACCTCGCGGCACGTGCTCCGCAGTGATGTCCAGTCTGTGCGGTCAACGAATCAACTGTTAGCAATAGATGATTGAAAACAGCGTTCGGTCCTCTCGTTAATCAGATTAAATGCTTGCAAACCTTGCTTATTGAGATAAAAATTTGCGAGTCTTGAAAATGTCGTTCGAGTAGGTTTTCTATTTTATACAGGGTATCCCAAAGGTATGTATACAGTGTTTGATCGTTAATATCTCTTTTCCCAAGAAGTCTTTTGCCTACCTCTAGGCACCATTTTGTAAGCTGGCTTCAACTTAGATTTACGAAGTGATTTACCGATCGCTCTCCATTACTGTAGGGTTACGGTAGGAACTTTGAAAAGGGTTTCGAACGGTTGAGGGCCCCATCTAGCTTTAGAAAGCAGACCAAAAACCTGAAAACTCTCATGCTAGGCTAATACAAGCCGCTAAAACCAACTATGAAGTTTGCACCTTACCGCAGTGCTTCCTTGATAAATTATGCCAGGTAAATCGCAACAGCTATTTTCTGTTGCTCCTTAAAATTCGCGATTCTACTGAAAAGCTTTGCACACTCCTAAAAGGTTGAGTAATGAAATCAGTGCGCGTGGAAACCCTGATACACCAGTTTTCAGATTTTCTGGAATATTCTTTCAAAACACGATTAATTCAGAATGACGCCGTAAGCTCGAAGTTCCTAACATAATCCTACAATAACGAAGAGCGATCGGTGATTCCCTCCATACTGCAAATCTAAGTTGAAGCCAGCTTTACAAAATGTTACTCAAAGGTTGGCAAAAGACTTCTTGGGAAAAGAGATATTGATAATCAAACAGTATATACATATTTATGGGACACCCTGCAAAGCGTGCTTGCATTGCAGTTATACGCGATTCCTATGCGTATAGCGGGCGTGACCCTGCAGATATTTGAACACGTTGGAAAACTTGTTGAACCTCTATTTCGAAGCATTAGAACTTGTACTCTTTCGCTTCAAAAAATGCCACGCGCATATGTTGGCAAACGTCCGCAAAGCTCCGCCCGCTATATTGTGGGTAATGGACGATAGAATGCGCTAATTTGCGCGTGAAAAAATAGCCACGCCAATAATGCCGGTATTCTGCGGGCGCAATTGGCCGGCGTCACAGGCGTAACTATTTGTTTCCGTGCTAATTTTACCGCATTTCACCTGCAGTGCGAGTACACTATATTGAGCGGAAAATCCACTCACTGTACACCTTCATAAGAACTTCATTGCAGATGAGATGTTTTTGTTCGTAGTTTCCTAGTCCGTAATTGCATGGCAAAAAACTGCTGGTGTCTATAGCGCTTCACTGAGGCTGGGTTCAAACTGATCCGTTAGTTTTGGAACAGTTCTAGCACAAGGCTTGAACTGTGCGTTGTGCTGGAACTGTTCTGGAAGTCACGGATCAGTACGAACCCAGCATAAGAAACTCTAGAGTTTAGCTCGAATCTCGAAGTGAAGAAGGAGCTCCTTACCTACGCCTTTTGCCCAGAAATGGACGAAAAGAGCGAGGTTTAGTGCAGGACATGGAGCGAGTGCAGACAGATTTGATTAACGAACACAATACAGCGGAAGAGTATCGGTAAAGATTGCTTTTGATCAGAGTCACTGCTTGCTTTACATAGTTCTCAGCAGAGTCTCCAAAAAGGAGGTTTTTTCGTTATTGAAAATGAGAATCACATGATTTGACCAAGCTCCTCGGTCTTTATGCAACTGCTTCGTAAGCGACACTACTTACACCGTTTTAGCGCTCGTGCACAGGATTGGGAGCATATGTGCAAAACGGAGAGCGTGCGTAGCGCTGAACTGAAAGGATTACTTGATAGAGCTACCAATGTAAGTGTCATTTCAAACTATTCTGAGGCGCTCCAGCCTACTCTTGTTCAGTTGCTGCGAGAACAGAAGGATGCAGCAGAGCAGAAATTCTTGTCTCTACAGGCTGTGGTTCGTAGGCAGGAGGAGCACATTTTTGATCTGTATCGACGCTTAGAAGTAATTGTGATTCGTTCCTCATAAATTATGACCATGATTTTGAACGGCAGGAGCGAGATGATGCACTAAGGCGAGCGAAAGCTAGCGGATCTCATTCTTCGGAGCATTTTCGACCCTCTCGAGTTCCGTCAGAAATCCGTTCATTCGATAGCAGTCTGTGAGTTTTGGCTCAGGTTAAAAGCGTCCAGTTTTGCAGTAGCGACACATATGCTTGGTCAAAATTATTTCCATGCATCTCATCACAATTTTTCACAACTGCTTGGAGCTAGTTTTTTCTTATCCGTCTTTTCTGTGACACAGGTTCTGAACTGATCGTTTTCACTGCAACCCATTTCTTCCATGGTTGCGCTTGGGGCTGCTATGGGGTATCAGACCTTTTTTGCTGCGCACAAACATCAAAGTGACTCAAATGAAAATCTTGCGTTCATCTTGAACAGCTTCAGCTTTTCGCTGCGTAGAAAGTCCTTGTGGCCAAAGGCTTTCATGAGAGTTAAAATAGATCTATTGTTGCAGGTCCGATATCTATGTGCCAAGAGATGTTATCTGTGGTCTAAGTCCCAGTGAACTTCGTTCCAGTGAAGAAGAAGTGGGTATAGACCTGGAGGAGACAGTGTAGTGCTTTCATTGCAATTGCCTGGTTGCTCGTTGTGCATCTGTGACATATTAGTGTTGTCCATTTATGTTGAGTATATTTACGAGTATATCCAGCTCATGTTGGGTACTTTTTTGCCGAGGCTAATCTTGTGCGCGACAGAGAGAGCATTTCCAGTAATGTTTTTTGATAGGTGAATTGTATTAGCAGGAAGAAAGCCCCTGCGACAAGCAGCCATTAAGGCAGTGTCCGAGTAAAACCCGATTTCAGCTGTTTGGATTTTGGGTCCATCCATTACCATGAATTTGAAGATGTGTTTTGGAGAGCGGAAATTGCCAGAATAGGCTTTTCGGGCTCTGTTTTTGAAGATAAAAGAAGACGATAGTTCCCAGACTAACATGGAGGAATGGTATAGACCGTCCGCTCTGTGCTCGGAGTGCACAAAGGGGACGGCCTCATACCACTCCTCTCTTGTTGAGACGCTGCTGCGTCCACCGAAGAAGTTCATGGCTGGAAGAGGCGCAGAGGAAACAAGCACCGAGAGTGCACGAGGAAAGAGGATGACGCGCAGTACACATCCTGAGCCCCGCGCGTTGGGCAGCCGATGCACTTGCGGACGTCCTATAAAGTGACTGCACGAAATCGCCCGAAAGGCTTCAAGCAAAACGCCCGCAAGTGCATCGGCTGCCTAACTCACTCGGGAGTTAGGTCACGGCCAGAGTTGAGCAAGAGGTCAGGCACAGTCTTTTGAAAAGGACCCCCCCCCCCGCTCCCATGAAAGCCCTCAAACGACCCCCTCTTCCTCCTCTTGACCTCCGGAACCTCAAAATGTGACATTCTGGAGGACATCATCCTTTTCTAAAGAGTCTTTAGATTTTTGAGAGCTGTACGCCCGATTTTCTGTGACTGCACTTTACAATCACACGTAATTTAACGGCTGATTTTGATCTGAATGGGCTTATTGAGAGGGGCATAATTTTCTTAGAGGTGGGGCGTTCGGCTCCAAATTTCCAATGTAGCAAGAAGAAGCTATGAGCTCAATAATCATACCAGGAATGGAGCGGTTTCTGGATTTTGAAGGCAAGTTAATGAGGTCAGGCACAACCACTCAAGAGCTCAGGCAGCCTAACTTTTTGAGGGCTTGCGCCTGACCCGATTAACTTTATTACCGAAGAAGCTCTCCCATCTTAAGTATATGATTCGCTGGCATAAACCTCAAGGATTCTACAGTAAGTGTTTGAGCTCACCTCGACTTGTTTTCGCTTTGTGGAGATCAGTGGAGTTGAAGCACTCAAGGTAGAAAACGCGGTGACTGACATCTTGGCAGCATTTCTTATCCATTATTTGAAAGTGATATGAAGTTCATTTCTACCGTAGACTCACAAACAGTAATACTTCGTTACAAGTTAATGATGTTCGAAAATCATGCTTTTGGACGTTAGGAAACACTAGAAAATGTGTTAGGTATTGGTTTGTGCTCGTTAAGGTGATTTGGCATGCTGATTACGGAAATCATGCCCAGTTTACATAAAAATCTACTTTGGTGAGCTTACGATATGTGAGGGTAGAAAAACTGAAATTTGGCTGAGATTCCGTTAGTCGAGTTAATCAGCATGCTGTTCACGATAGTCATTCCTCTTTTGCAGTTGTGAGATTCACAGTTGAAAGCTTTTCTTCTTCACCTTAGTCAATCGTAGTACCTCCTCGATTTTTTGAACAAATTCGGTTTTTGATCACAACCCCCCCCCCTCTTGCTCTTAACCCTATACGACACTAGGTCGGGCATGCCTGAGCCCACGCTCAACCCTGGTCACGGCGCAAGCGCGTAGGCTTTGGGGACGGATTTGTCAGCCGTGAATGAATCATTTGCGCTGCCGCTTGGGCAATGCCTTAGTTAGGACCCCCTGATCAATTTCCAGGCGAAAAACCCATGTGTCCATGTTTGCCTAAACACTGCCTTCAAAGGTCACTCCGACTAAACATCCTTCCCTTGAGAGACGCCGAGTCGCAGTGGGACCTTATGATCCTGACTGGGCACCATGGCTCTGCCACTAAGGAGAAAAAGCACAAGTGAACGAGACTATTTTTTAAGGCGTAATTAGTGAGTCTGAGCGACTTTCTCGCTCCTGTTCTATTTTTGTGGCTTCGCATTTGTGCGATAGCTTGCAGAGCATCCACTCCCGAATGAAGAAAGTTTCTCTGCCGCCTCCCCCCCCCCCCACCGGACACTACCTATAACGGCTGTTCTAGAGATCTAAGTCCTCGTTTTCTTTTTTCTGTTCTTGTGTTTTACCATCTTTCTCGCTGTATGATTTTTGTGGCAGCTGATGACATCCTTTCACGAATGTTGGAACTTTGCCGAGAAACCTTAGAGTGTAAGCGGTGTCGAAATTTGATTTGCAGCAAGTTATCATAAACAATTTTCGTATTTTGGAAAGGTTCTCGTCATCTACAATATGATTTGTACACGCAAGTCGCAAAAGTGACGAGGAGGACGCTTGGTCGAAGTGGCGACTCGAAATATGATTCAGCGATAGAGCTTAAAACGCTGATCTCCTGCATCTGCGAAACATTCTTCTAAAAAAGTGAGCTTTTCTTATACCAAATTTCCATGCATTTTGAGTCGCAAAACCACGATAATTTCCAGACAAAAATCTGCGGGCTTAAGCAGACCACCCGATAAGCATCATAGGCTTAATCCTATATCATCTGAACTTTTCGAATGTTGTGCAACCGTCTTACTACCACAGTTGATTTTGATCTGAATGGGCTTATTGAGAGGGTCATAATTTCCTTAGAGGTGGGGCGTTCGGCTCCAAATTTCCAATGTAGCAAGAAGAAGCTATGAGCTCAATAATCATACCAGGTATGGAGCGGTTTCTGGATTTTGAAGGCAAGTTAATGAGGTCAGGCACAACCACTCAAAAGCTCAGGCAGCCTAACTTTTTGAGGGCTTGCGCCTGACCCGATTAACTTTATTACCGAAGAAGCTCTCCCATCTCAAGTATATGATTCGCTAGATTTATTCAAGCTTACTGCTCCTCAATAGCTGAAACTTCTTCTATGGATAGTGTGGGCAGTACACTACACAGCCTGTTCATTGTAGCCTCTCAGTCTTTCCCTTTACTTAGTTACGAATTTTCAAAGTCCAGTGCTTGTGCACGTTTTTGACATCGTTCTGGATGGCGCCAAAACGGTTTTTTTTTTTGCAGAAAAATCTGTGCAAAAGGTAGGAAGTAAGCTTTTGGCGAAAAACATTTTTTACGCTTCAAAAACATCGTTTTTCCCCCTCGTACGGAGATAAAACAGGAGACTGTCATTATAGTCTAGAACGTTCTGATTTCCAGAACCATAGTCGATATCCTTCGGTACCATTGAAACATGAATGAGTCATGCGAAACATTCATAAATGACAGAAGAATTTATTACCTGTCACTAGAAGATTTGTTACTATTAATCAATCATAATGACTAATTTGGTTGTTAGGTTATTTCATTTTTTGCCTCTAAATGGAGTAGAACTCAAATTTATCATTCAGGTTAAAATTGATGTTTAGCTTTGTCAGATGATGTCCACTCCATCCACATTTCCCGACCAGAATAAGCGCAGCCAAATCTTAAAATTTTACTACTTACTCAATCTCTTCGCAGAATTATTTTTGAGGTTTTTGAATGGTGAAGCATACTTGCATTATCAATTCATAAGTAGTTATTCTTCTCTGAACCTATAATTTTGAATGAGGTCTATTGGCGGGCATCTTTTAAGGTTGACATTCGTTTATGCAGATTTAAAAGCAGTCCAGTGGAAGGGAGGCGGGGGGGGGGGGTCGTTAATGAGGGTCCCGGATCGCATCAACACGCTTGACCCTGGTCCCATGTAAAAAACAGTTAGTATTGAGTTAGTTCTCTGCAAACAAACTATCAGTAAGAAACCGTCTAGATAACTCGCGCGCTGCGCCACATGTTACCCTGGCCACAGCTCTGCAACCTCCCCTGATGTCCAAAGTTTTTCTGGCAAACGCGGCAAAAGAAACTTGTTGTCCTTACAGGCTTCTTCTATCCATGTCGTAGTACATTCCCTCCCCTACATTCTACAAAGACCTGAATCTTTATTTTCATATGTGCCGTTTCCCCCACCTCTAGAGTTCTAAGTCAATCTTTCTCTCTCTCCCAACTCCCCTTTCCAATAAGGTCCAGATTCTACTGAAGAATAGAAGGGAGGAATAGAGTGGGAACAGAATAATATTGGAAGTTTTGTAGCGATTAATGGAAGCTCCTTCCACTCTGAAGTTTTTCCCAGACGAAGTTCTTCGAATCCTATATTTTGCCTCTAACACTCGGATTTTGCTTTCTCCAAAATTGTCCAAACAGTGCGTCAAAGGCACGGTCCACTCTAAGTTGAGGGTCTTGAGCTTTTGGCAGCATATGATATTAGGACCCCTATCAAGCCAATGCCCAAGTCGCGCCGCAAACGCTTCGGAAGTGAGAAAATTGCTCTGGAATAACAAAAATGCACAAAGATCCCCAAACGGCACCGCCCTTCCATTGCCCGCCCATCTGTGCGCGCCCAGCCAATCACCGTTCCGAAGCTGGCCTGCGTGTTCTCCGAAACGGGGATTGCTAGGGTTTCCAAGGATACTCGACTTCATCTTCGGAATCAGGGACATGAGAAGACCCCGGAACGACTAAAACATGATAGTCGAGAACCTGGGTGGACGGTGCCTTTAAGGCAGCATCCTGGCAAGTCTGGACATATGGGGATTTCACGTGGATAGTAATTTTGGGGTCCGAACTAAGCCACTGCCCAACCGGCGGCTCAGGTAGTGCTCTAACGGCTGAGATATTCCCCTCGAAACTAGTCCCCGCGATCGTATTTCGCATGGATTCATGGCGCAAAGCTTGGATCCTGGCGCGAAACTGCCATGAATCATGCGAGTACGATTGAGGGTTCCAGTTTCGAGAGGAATATCTCAGCCGTTAGAGCACTACCTGCGATGCCGCTTGGGCGGTGCCTACTTTCCATGTAAAAACCCCATAGGTCCAGATCTGCCTGGACGCCGCCTTCAAAGGCAGTGGATCAGCAGAATGGACCCTTCTCGAATTTTGGTGGATCCAGGTAGTAGACCCCCAAGTACGCTGTAGCCCAAACCCCACCTGCCAATTCATGCGCTAAGTCCCGAAAAATGCGCTTCAAAACTCCACCAGCCCCGCCCCTTTCCATTGAGTGCGCGGGACTGGTGGAGTTTTTAAGGCGCATTTTTCAGGACCTAGCGCATGAATTGGCAGGTGGGGTTTGGGCTATAGTGAACTTAGGGGGGTCTACTACCTAAATCCACCAAAATTCGAGAAGGGTC